CTACCAGTTCACCTCGAGGATGGAGACAGCATCTACCAAACTAGACGGCCATTTCTGTCGGTGACCTCGTCACCTGCTTCAGCAATCAGCGACTGTTAATTTGAATTCGTAATCTTCGTACGATCATCACCGCAAGTAGCGATCATTTCCTTAAACAGCGTCAACCATTTGATCTTCGTAATGGTGAAGTGCTGTGTTTTCTTCGCGGTACGGTCTGAGTTCTCGACTACTTTTAGATGTGATCAGTTGATATTTGTAATCGTGGAGTCCTCTGTTTTCTTTGAGGTAGGGACTGAGTTATTGGATGATATTTGGACGAGCTTCGGTTTCAGGGCGCTAATAGAAAATCGATACAGTTTAATTTGAGCTTCGTGCAGTCAGGGTTGTTACGAACAGAAATTAAACTCTCATGACAACTGTTGGCGTAGATGTTCAGTGTAAAATTTAACTGAAATCTGTTTCAGCGGTTTTGCAGATGATACAGACGGACGGACGGACATGATTTCCCCGCAGTCTGTCCATTTTATGCTCGTCTTGCAAAGTACACACAACCAGGCGGGTAGTTCCACCACTTGCACAAGCAAAGTTTCTGCGGGTAAACAAAGCGAACTGCCAAAACAAAACTTACTGCAGCTCCGGGCCATCGGTGAAGCAAAATTAATCATGACGGAACACTCCGTTCCAAAATTCTCTTCACGACCAACGAACTCGTGCACGTGCTATAGGTAAAAAGTCAGCAGGGAAGGTGGCGTGTTCCAGAACACAGGCGTTCTTTACGACTCACATTCTTGTTTCAACAGCTGAAGTTTAATATGCGACTACGACACCTCTGACTCCAAGATATTAAGTTAACTTTTGCAGACAATAACTAACGCAGAACTGCTCAGCTTTCGGGGATGAGGCCTGACCGAATTTCAAAATCGTGCAAAAATAAATCCTTTAGACATCTGGCTGAGGTTTTTGCACGGTAAAGTGTCCATTGCAAGGGCTTCTGTAGTACAAGACGAAAACACGCCAAAGGCTAGAGAGAGATAAGCAGACAGACGTTTGTCTGTTCTACTCAGCTCGTCTAAATAACATTTAAGAATCCAGTACGTACCGCGAAGAAAACACCGCACTTTACCATTGCAAAGATCAACTGGTTAACCTTGTTTAAGGAAATAATACGACTAAAACGCTAATTAACCTTTGGAGCCGAAGCTCTTTCAAATGAATCTTAAGAATTCAGTCCGTACCGCGAAGAAAACACTACACTTCACCATTACGTAGATCAACTGGTTAACGCTGTTTAAGGAAATAATCGCAGTTTATAATAAGACTCACATCAAACACGTAATCTCAGAACGTACAGTTCTTGACTAAACCAAGTCGGCCTTGAAAGGGTTAACTTCAGTTCGCATTGCTGCAAGATAACCCCAGGTTCACAGGAAGCTTACACCTGACTTTATCGTCATCCTGAACGTGGAATTAACCGCCACTAAGTCTTGAATTGATATCGTCTTCCAGTTTCTGCCGTCCAACATCCTCGGGGTTCTGACAGCATTGTGGGGACACGTGTACTCAAAGTGTCCGTCCGTCTACCGAGAAAGCCGCCTGTAACAGAGTTCATTCTTCAGATGCCGGGATAAGGAAGGAGACTGATGGATGGGGTTATCTTAATGACAGATGAGGAGCGCGGAGCAGCAGAGGAGACGCGATATATAAAGGTATCAGGAGAGCTTGGCGCTCGATATTCTTACCTGCAAGGAGTAAACAGCGTGGCTGTTCTCTTAAGACGGCTACTCTCAAAAGTCAAATGTTCTTTTGAACGATATTTGTCTCTGGTGGTTGCTGGTATAAAAAGCTGTCTTCGAAAAACAGAGCAGTGTGTTCACTACAATATTAAAAACGAACCAGAACGACACACGACCCCGCAAAAGACGGAGCTAGAGAAGGAGGGTTCAGGAAGGGTGAAGATGTTTTGCATTTAAATGAAACCTAAAATGACATCGAAATTTCTGGACGCACACAAAAAATTACAAAACACCAATAATTATGTGCGCTAAAGGAAGGGCTGGGCGTCTTAACAACAGCAGATTTTATTTGCATATTCTACGTGCAATGCCATAAGAAAATCGCTTGCCTGTCAGTTAACTCCGTAAAATCTGGAAGCTTCGTACGTGCAGCACATCGTCAGAGAACTAACCGGCTAACAAACGTTACTCGAAACTGACGTTAGTATTTGGTTTAACGAAATTAAAATTTGCTCGCTCTGTCTGGGCACCATTAATGCCTGAACGTAACACAGCTGTTAACGCAAAGCGCGCAACATCTAGAAACGACGTTTTGACACGTAAAAATTCGTTCGATTCCATTAAAACTGCGGCCTTAGCGTGGATTAAAGCGTCAGATGCGATATCACAATTTCAAACAATTCTCTGTCACGTTTAAACCCTTAATCCTCTCATTCATAAATATTCCGACTAGTTCACGAATTTTTCTGTCTAAATGGATTTAAACTACAAACGCAAAACTTTTGCTTTTACTACAAAACTGGGCTTAAACTTTGCAAAATACCGACAGCCGAGTTAGAAATTCCTATCACGTGACTATTTTCAATCACATGTCACACGCAGAGCAGCACGACGTAAATTTGTAGCTTCGTCTGGATTCGAACCGACAATTCGTGTTCTCTAGTTGGAAAAAAAGCGCACCTCTTACACGGCAATTTCTCATCGCAAATACCGGGGCATCACAACACGTAATCTTGGTTCAGTGACAATTTTATTACCAAAGTTCATAAAATAAATATATTAAGTTCTTAATACCGCGTAATAAAAAAAGTTTATCAGTAAATAAAAAACCCTATTAATCTGAACACCCGGTATAATACTTTTAAATTAATTATAATGAACCCGCGTAATCTTTGAACTCTGCTGTACGCTTTGCAACAATTTTTAACTATAGGGTTACAAGAACTAATTTCACGTTAACTTTTAAAACGACTGTCATTTGCCACCCCTGACTGAGAAGCAATTTTTTTATTTGTCATGCATTTGACTATTAAAAATTACGTGCTTTTCTGCGCCGTGACTGTTTTTACGACAATTATACAAACAAGAGCAAAATTCAGGGAAGAAACGTTGTATGAATTTTATACGCCAGTAAGATTAATTTATTATGCATTCGTTGTCGCTGTGTCCTGATTAAACAAATGCGAAAATTGTAATTCCCGCCGCTCACACGAGAGCGACGTCGTACTCATTAAGGTTTAAGGAGACTGCATTAATGGAGCGAGTGCGTTGACGAAGAACCAAACAACTTTTATTTATGGTAACAAATAAATTACAATATTAAAGATAACACGACAGTGGATATGTTTCAGAATTGTACAAATTTCTGTACAGTCGACAAAAAATAATATCTTCTGCCACCTCCAGCTCCAGACATTATTTTGACAAAACACTCACGTACACTCACGAGTGTGGTCTAAGGAAAGACTGACAGAAGAAGAAGCAGAAGAACGCGAAGTATTGGGCGGGTCGTCAACACGAATAACAGCTAAATCTGCAGGATCACGTGGTTTTATCTTAAGTACAATCTAAACCTAACAGACTGGCAAGTAATACACGAATAACCATTTTATCAGATACAAAAGGGTTTTAAAGTGACGAGGGAAAATCCTGGAAGTCTACTCGGGAGCTACGAGTGAATTAACACTTAAATACGGACATCCCTACGATTATTGAAGTACAGTGAGTTCCTGCTTTCCGAGTATTTGTAACTGAAACAGCATCACACAAAACATATCTAAGAACGACGACGTTCAGAAACGTCTCCTTCCCGACTGACCCTCAGAGGATAAATACGAAATTACTGAACATCAACTGACGTCAGACGAGGTCTACGGCGAAGTACGCGTTAA